TAAACTGTGGACATGGAAACTAGCTACATCTATAGTAGACGGAATAACCAACCTTCGAGAACTGGTCAACTCCAGAGAGTATGCCTATCCAACTATCGGCACGAGCACTGATGCATCCGAGCCAAGCAGTGAACCCGCTGAAGATCCAGATAAGAGACCAGCAGTTTGTCCAGGATGCAAAGGACATCTAAATAGGAATGATCCACGGCACACTCGTGACCCTGACACATGTAAATATCCTTTAGATGCCCCCGTAATATGGACATGCCCTGGATGTAAGAAAATGAAACCTGCTGGTGACAGTTCACATACTTATGCCCAAGGTGAGTGCAAACACATGACCATAGCTCACCGTAAGGGCATTCATCGAAATGGCCACCATCCCAGAGAACCAGCCAAGCGGGCTGATGAACTTCCGGTTCAAGACTCTCAGGCCCAACTGCCTGATGGAACCGATTTGGGAGCCGGTGAAGGAGCTGCCAGTAGTTCAGCCGTAGGGGCAGCACCTCCAGTAGAAGATAGGATTGTCCCCTACAATCCAGATGACGGCGAACCCGCCGAGAGCAGACTCCGAGGCCCTTATCGAAAGTTCCGGGATGCGGCCGCAGGCAGTGAACATCCATCTGACTGGTCTAGATTTGATGTCACTCATAGTCTCAAAGACTTGAGAAGTAGTCATGAACCAACAATTATTCGAACACTCAGGAAGCTGCATTTAAGATGGTGGCATGCAGGACCCACCAACATGACTAGCGTTTTAAGAAATGCAGGCATACCTGAAGAAGTCATAAGCTACATTCCTGACATCATTTCAACCTGCCGTGAATGCCGCAAGTGGGCACCAAAAGCCAAAGATACTCAACCCTCTGTTTCTTTGGCCATGAACTTTAACGAAGTAGTAGAAACCGATTTGATGTTCTATCGAGAATTTGTTGTACATCACTTTATTTGCAGAGCGACAAGATGGCATGTTGCTGTGGAAACTCCTAACAAAACAGAAGACCAATTAATCACGAACTTCCACACAGCATGGGTATCCATCTTTGGCCCACCTCAACAGCTTGTCACCGACAGTGAAGCTGGTTTGACTTCATCCAGCGCTGAAGCAAGATTGAAGCGTATGGGTGTAGTCTTAAAGGTAAGAGGCAAGGACCAACACGCTCGGTACATCGAGAGGAGAGGAGCGATCTTAAGACATGCGATGCATGTGATGGAATCCCAAGCCATAAGAGAAGGTATTGACATCAACTTCCCATCATTACTTGCCAATAGCGTCTTTATGGGTAACGCACTAACACATGTAGGAGGAGTTACACCCTACCAGGTAGTGATGGGAAGACAACCAGCATGCCTTCCGCCAATTACTGACAACGCCGGCTTGGAAGAGAGAGTTGATGCTCGCATCCGCGAACTTGCACTGCAGTCTATGGTTTCAGCCACGAGTGCATCTCGTATCAAAAGAGCTCTGGGGTCCAAAACTGCCTTGTCGGGAGAAAACCGTTTTGCAAAAGGAGACTTGGTAGAGTTATACCGAACGCCCCCGAGCAAAGACATGAGTGGCTGGACCGGTCCATATGAAGTCGTAGAGTGTGTAGCCGCAGATGGCATTGTAGCTCTTAAAATAAATGGACAGACCAGACCATATCGCCTCCAGGATGTACGCCCAGCACAATATTATGCAACAGTTTCTCTTTATGGACACACCAATGCGGATATCTGTTTGAATGCCATGGAATACATCCATCAATTTTTGAATGAACTCCCTGATGGCCGTGTTGAAGTTTTTGGGTATGTAAATGACAGACTGACAAGAACCACCAAGCGATGGCCCAAAATTTCAAAAGCACTAGAATTCATCATAACAAATTCCCTCCAGATGGATGATATCTGCACTGTAAGAATTGGACATAAAATCAAACAGCTGCAAGATCTGAACGACAGATACCGCAATGTGATTTTCAATTGGAACATGAACAACCCAGATGCAATGCTCATACATGTTGCCGATCATCCGAGACAAAACATCAACAAAATCTTTGGTCCACAGGAGTCCTTCGTCGCAACAATGCAGTGTTTTATGCTAGACAGAGATGTCGGGATGACACTTGATGATTTTGAGGAGAAAGTGCTGGACCGTCCGTCGGCTATGGCGCATCTCGATCGAGAGATCGAGGTGGGTCGTAGTGATGGGCGGCTCAGTACGATCGCCGAGGAATCTCAAGTTAGCATTGACTCTCCAGAGGTTGAAGCATTGTACTTGCAACAGTTCGAAGGTGCTCCCAAAGAAATCCAAAGTGATCTCAAGGAGCTGTGCTGGGTAGTTCTCAACGAACCAGTAAATGAAGTATCAGATGTGGAGATTAAAGATGATTGGTGTTATTTTTTAAGTCCAGACAACCATAATGATTGGGATTCAATACCACCAACAGTTAGTCCAGATTTCGACGAGTATGATCACACTTTTGAGTTTGATGAAAATGATGAACCATTCCTTGAAGTGTTGATCTCAGAGAACATCACTGAATGCTTCCAAGACAGTCGCGATGTGTCTAAACCCAACTTAATGAAAGTATTCCTTAATGCAGAAGCCAAGAAAGAAGTCATCGAGAGAGATACGGACTTGCTCACAACTAAGGAATTAATTGACCATCGCAAGGAAGTTGATGAAGCAACTGTTAAGGAGTATGAAACCTGGCACAAATATGGTTGTTTTGAACGAATCCCCAAAAAGAAGTGTAAAGTTCTGATCGACGCCAAGCTAGTTTCTAAGTGGAAGTATGTAGACGGGAAGCGCATCATCAGGATGCGATTGGCCTTGCGAGGGTTCAAGGAACCGCAAACCGAAGATGAAGTGAACTTCTCGGCCACTGCGCAAAGAACATCCCAAAAGATCCTGGCTAGTGAAGCAGCCTGCCACAAAGATTGGAGCTTTGTCGCTGTGGACATAAGCAAAGCATTTCTTCAAGGGCTTACTTTTTCCGAGATGAACAAATTGACTGGAGAGCCCGAAAAACACATAAGCTTTACCGTCCCGGCAGGAACAGCCAAACATCTCAGACGGATTCCAGGATATGAAGATTTTGATGAGCGGACGGAAGCTCTCAAATGCTTGAAGCCTGGCACTGGCTGTAGAGACGCTCCCAGAGCATTCAACATGAGGCTAATCAACATCCTCAAGGAATTAGGGTTCCGAGCATCTTTGTATGACCCCCAACTGTTAATGTTACATAAGAAAGGAACCCTAGTCTTAGCCATAACCGTCCATGTAGATGATATTAAAATGGCAGGTATGAAATCAGAAATAGATTCTTTGGTTAAAACTCTGGAAGGGCACTTTGGTAAATTGACGTATCAAGAAAGTGAATTTTCAAACTGTGGTATTTGTCATAAAAGACTCCCAGATGGAACCATCACTCTTGATCAGACAGAATATCTCAGTGCATTAAAACCTATAAACCCAAAACACTATGCCAATCTCCAGAAGGACGCACAATGCCCCGAGCACCTCAGAGCGCTGTATTGGAGCTTGTTAGGAGCCGTTGCCTATTCCGCCCTAACACAGGCGTGGGTCTTAGTCTACATAATTTCCCTCCAACGTGTAACTCAGAACCCCACTGTTACACATGTCAAAAGACTGAATGCACTCACCCGAGAGCTTCAACGTCGTCCCCAGAAATTAGAGTATAGCTCAATGACTTGTAGCAGGGTTGTTGAGCTATATTCTGATTCAGCATTCTCCAGAGAAAATGACAAGGGATACGCTTTGAGAGGTGCAATATACCTTCGAATGGGCACTGATGTGAGAGGAGTAAAGAGATGCCATTTGATTGAGGCCGTTTCTCAATCTCATAAGCTCGTGGTGCGCAGCACATTCGCCGCTGAGCTGTTGGCACTCACAGCATCCGTTGATCAAAGTTTTATAATCATAACTACCCTTCATGAAATATGTTTCGGACCTCTTAGCCCCCAATCCAGTATAAATTTAAGAGAAAATGGTGGTTACCTTATCGAACTCTATGTCTGGATAGACGCCAGGTCCGTTTTCAGTGCGGTGGAAAATGAAAATTTCAAATACCCAACGGAAAAGTCACTACTCTCTCATATCTCATGGATTAAGCAGTTGACCACCTCGAAGATCATTCGCATTTTAGGTTGGGTCGACACACGCGACATGATAGCCGATGGAATGACCAAAGGTTCCATCGATCGGTCGCAACTAATTAGTGCAATGAAGGGGTATGTACGAAGACTACACCCCGCTGAATTCATGAAGACCAGAGGGACACGTCCTCTGGCAAGCACAGATACTGAAGTTTGAGCTCGAGCCAGTTACAACATCTTACCAACTTACAGGAGAACACCCGACTTGAAAGGTACATGATCTACCATGCCTCAGGTACATTGTTGTCCATGTAACTGTTCTGGCTCTAGAGCTCGACCTAGGTAAACACAAGACTTCGTCACAAGCAGTCAGAGGAAAACAGACATTTGCGGAAACAGTACTTCTTTGTCACTTTAGTTCCTCTCTTTTTCGAGTATGTCCATCAGTTTGAGTCAAAAAAAAGGAAAGGAGGTGTTGACGTGCTGAATGGGAATGTAAAGAGTCCACATGCCACATACCCGTGACGACACGCTGGTATCTAGGATAGATTATAGCTGGAAAAGATGGCAAAGTAAGGTAAAGTCATACTACAATAGTGATAACATGTAACAAATACAGGTGTGTACCGTTTTGCGGTTGGTTTTACACAACAATAGATCAGCGGACTCACATGATCATGAACTTCCCCACACTTTTGGAATGACTGATGTGCTACTTGTACCTACTGGCCTTTGTGGTCGATTTCCCAAGTTTAAACCGTTATAGAAAGCTGTGGAAAGCCATTAGAGTGGGTGATCCTTCTTTGGGTATAGTCCATGGCAATCCGTTATTGTAATCGCAACTGATACAGTATTTGTTGATGGGCGAATGGTTGAAACATGTTGAAACCAACCCTGCCTCCAGGTGCCAAAAGATAAGATTGATTGGACGATGCGAAGGCAACTTGGCCGCTTCAAAGTGTAGCTTGCGTCCAAATAACGCAGGTATCAAATGTGTTTAGCATGGTTGTTACACATTTATCATTGATATCGCCCCTTTTGGGGCACGCTTTTTGCACCTGATTTTGTTGTTTCTCCTCCCCACGGAGCTCACCAGGCATGCAAAAGAATTTTGCGAAGCGGTTCAGTATGGCAGGCAGTTCAGAATCCCGGACTCTCGTCCGCAGCTCTCACGTGTTCCACTTGAAAAAAATAGTTATATAGCCTCTTGTAAACTAACAATAAACCATGATGAATATTGATGAATACCTTGAATACCCTCTTGTAAACGAACATAGCTATTGAAAATGAGCATTTATAGTTGATTTACCCATTAAACATGGTGGTTTTCCATAGCTATGTTAGTTTACCAGAGGGTAACATGGGGAATCCATGGGAATCCATAATCCACAAGACAACAAATCTACCTCTGGGAGCTCGAGGGACTGGTCACATGTTGGGTGCCTCGTGAAAACGCACTATGCCCAGTGGAAGATCCTACTCTGTTTCCATAAAAGATGCACTCCATAGAGAACTATGCAGAAATTGAGCATTTCGAACAGTGGAGAGACTGAGTGCTTAATGTGTTCATAGTCAACCAGAAGGGACATGCTGGAAAAGTCTCAGCCACTCGCAGGGACAGTATGACAGTACACATCTGGGATCTACAATGGCCGGTGATTCCTAAACTTGTACTGTAACAAAACATCATGGCTTCCCAGCTTTTTTTGAGATCAATATTTTCCCATGGGGATGGGTCAAAAGTCCGTTCACTTTAACCTATTTTTATCAGATGAAAATCACCAAAAATAGGTGTAATAAAATCAACAATAATGGCAACAAAATATTCATTCACTATATTCAACATCAATTAACCATCCATGATACACCCATTTTAGGGTAGAGGTATTCTACGACCTCAGCGGTTTCCACCACCACTTCGAAGCGAGGAGAAAGAACGGGAGGATTGGATGCCTGTGGGCCGATCAGGTGATGAGCAGCTCGGCCAATATAATGGCCTTGCGCGGCGGTTATAGGGCGCAAGTGATGGCCAGATCATATCCATAGGTAGTGATGGCCATATCATATCCATAGGTAATATATATATAATTATATATATATAGGTATCATGATCATGGTTTTAATTTACACTATGTATAATGATGTATGTATAATGTGAAAATTAACCATAATGTGTGGCATAAAACCAGTATGCCATTTACAATTTACACTATGTACCATTAAATTTGAGTATGTCATAATAGATCTGAGTAGATATGTCATAATAGATCTGAGTAAATTATAACGACCTCACTGTTCTCCCGACCCCTGGAATCATGGTTAATAAGGGAAATCATCCCCAAATTGCCCGATTTTTTTCGGGAGTCCGAAATAAGTGGTGTGGCCTTAGTGAAATATTATAATTTACCAAGATACATGGGGGTACCGCAATAGCTGGATGGTTTATCATGGAAAATCAAATGGATGATTTGGGGGTACCCCTATGACTTAGGAAACCTCCATATGATTTATAATGAATGTTCATGGCCTTAGAAAATAGAGACACTTGACGACACTTGACACATGGGAATATGTTGGAGATATACTGTAACTGCAATGGCATTATATCTTAATGTTATACATATATATATAATGATTTTCGATATATTTATTACCTTCCGGTATTTGACATAGCTATGATATGGTTTAAATCATCAGTTTTTGAAAAAAAGCTTGATCTGCTATATTTTCGGACCGTTCTCCATATGCTAAATTACCGGCGGGCATAACCAACCATAATGATTGGGTACACAAAGCAATATATTGTATATATATATCATTATTTATATATATTATATACTTAGTGACATTGTAACATAGCCCAAAGAATAATATGATATACAGTGGTGAATGGAGAGAGCTGTGAGCTATGGTTGCATCCCTATTTCCGCCAAAACATGGGGAGCAAAGGATCAATGAATTGAGTTTCCCAAGTGCATGATAGATTTTCACTCCCCGTGTTTGGGGTTCTGATCCGAAATTGCGAAATAACTCTGATGTTCCGACGGATTGAAACCACCAACATGAACCTGAGACTCCCCCGAACATTAATTATTTTTTAGCAACAGAAACAGCAAAGTTTGGGTCCATGGGTGTCGCAAGATTATGATGTTTACCAACATTTTGGGTAAACCATGCGATGGCAAATGGGTTGATGATTTTGATGTTTGGTTTTGTGAACGGTGTTGCTTGGTCAGAAATAAGGGGTAATTATGCTTATATGTATCCCGTTCACAGCTTGCTGGTACGTAAACTTATATAGCCATCATCTTCAATGGGTGAACAAATTACTATGTATATATAGACATAATTATGATAATTTAATTGTGTAGATAGATAGGTATAGGTAGATAGATAGATAGATGGATAGGATTAGATAGATAGATAGGTAGATCGATAGATAGATAGATAGATCGATAGATATGTATGCCCAGTGGTAATCGAATCTTTCAGTAAACATCCCTGACTTGTAGATGATTTAAACCATATCTAATTGAATATTTCCATGAGCCATGGATATTTCTAGGTAAAACAATGCCAGAAAGTAACTGAGTAGAGTGTAAGTGTGGCCTCCCATTGCAAGGGGTGTAGTTTTGGTGGGTTTTCAATAGGACCTGGTCATGGTTTTCTTCGGTTTACAGTTGCTTGTTGTTTTAGAGCATCAGAAAGTGCAAATTATTGTTTTACAGGGTTTGGAAAGCAAGGGTGTAATGGGCTTCTTCAGTTGAATGGATTGAACCGAAAGGTGACTCCCCGACTCCAATCAGGGTTTAACCAGTCCAATTTGTCCAACTGATGGCTCGAAAAATGGTGGGGATAGCGTCACCTTTGCTGGGGCGCTCATTGGATTCCAATGATATTTTGCGGGTTTGTTGGAAGAAAAATCATATATGGAAAACAATATATATATATATATACATGTGTGTGCATGTGTAGAGCAGACATATACATAGAAAATTGATGGTGACATCTGAGATTTTAAGTATCAAATATTTTCATAAATCAGTCAGCCGTCTCAACCCCCAGGCTCTTTTGCTACCAGATGAACGCTCGCAAAGACGGAAGTTTGTGACCCGACTGGTCTGACTGGTTTGTGTTTCCAAATGTGTATGAGTCAAACATGGGATAGCAATTCAACCACAGTTACTCTATTAATCATTGTCAGATATTATCAGTATGAAACTGCATCTAGCATCCATTTATTCGGATAAGCATCGATTTATTGGGGACCATTTTTTTAAAAAAATAATTGCCCATGCCCAAATATGTGGGGTGTACAAGGGCCACGAGCAATGATAGATACAACCCATGGAACTGGATGGATTTGCTCTTTAAAACCTTTTATTTTCTTCCCGCGCTGCTTGGGAAGATGAACTTAATGAACATTTTGTTTGGCGATTGGTTTGAATAGACATAAACCAGCCAATGGCCACAAGAAGTTCCATATGTCCAAAACATCAACCCTGTCCTACCCGTCCCGTGCGGATCGTTGACTATCGATCTAGATTTTCAGTGCGACAACTTGCTGTGTAACCAGTGGCTACAGAGCTCTTGTCAGGATTTTGAGGATTCAGCCGATCATTGTTAGCTAACGTTAGTAACAGGTTTGATGTGTTTTACGCTGTTTCCCCTTGAGAGTATCGTCTCAGAATGATTTTAGATCGCGTTTCCTGCTGATGACCAGTCTTGTTTGCTGAGTTTAGCCTTAGCGACGAGTTTTGTCTGGCTGAAAAAATGGATGGACCAATGAACATCATGTCCCCTGAACCAATTTCATGATTGTTGCGTTAATCCCGGTCATTTACCTTCAACGTGTTAAAACTATTCCCGAATTGAACCCCATAATTGATTGATTTTTTGGTTCGAAAAGAGACATGTATATATACACACTTATTTACACACATACGCACACAAAAAAAACGCTTATATATACTGTATATATTGTAATATATATATATATATTACAATATATGGCCAAATCGCTTAGATGAAATAAATCGACTAACAACTGAACATACTGAACTCATTTTGGGGGAGCTATATATAAATTTAGCAGAGGATATGTTGCAAGTCCAACACGTGAGGTTCAACAAGTCTATTCTAGTTGATGTTCCTGAACTGTTCCACATGTTTTCCCCTGAACTCACAATATTTGTTTTTGTTTACATAAAATATTTACATTATATTATTGCATATTATGTTATATTATTTTAGAGTGTATACTGTTGTAATGTATATATATATATATATATATATATATTTGTATTATGGTATGCCATATGATATGATATGATATTATATGTATTTATGTTCTACTTGGGCTGAGTTCGTTGCCTCAGGTTCAACAACATGTTCTATATGAAGGTGATCGAGTTGAGTTCCACCTTGGGGCAAGAGCTTCCCTACATCGTGGGCTTGCAGACCGAGCTTCCTTTTGGCAAGCGCGACCTCGCACAGTTGGCCAAGAACACCAAGGCAGGGCGCGCTAGATCTAAGAAGATCTCAGATATATCCATTGGGTCCATCTATTCATCTGGTGTTGATTGGATTTTCCCATTTTTATGGCTGTTGTTTTGGTTTAAACCTCAGATTGATTGCGGAGAAATGCGTAGTGGCTGGATCACCATGACAATGAATCAATCACCCCAGGTAGGCGAAAAATGTCATCCAACCTGGCTGTGAAATGAGAAACACATCTGTAAAGGAATGATTTTCCATTGCCAATACTGTATATGGAATGTTTTCCATTCACCAACTAATACTCATTCCCAAATAAATAGTGGATTTTCCTGCACGCCATGTTTGATGACCGGAGGTATTTTTTTGTATATAGTTGGTGAACTTGAATGGAATATAGATCTTTGCCAACTTGATATACATCTTTGCCAATTCTACCAGATAGCATTATTGCTGTAAATTATGATCTTTGATTGTGCAATGATGTACAATGGGGATGTGATACTGACCAATGACACTTCGGTGTCTATAAAATGGATTGCCTACCCGGCCCCATGCTTCCCCCTCCCTGTTCATGAAATGGTTGTTTGAAGTTGCTAGAACATAAGTCACACTGTAGCAATTCAACATGTTTTAACAGGTAAATCATCGATGGGCCATTTCCAATATCAAACTGTTCGTTTATCAGAGGGTAGCTGGGGTTAATAACCCGTCTTGGGAGGTTCTGGACAGCAACATGAAGCGCGGCAGAACGTGTGGAACAAGGTGTTACCCAAGACCCCAACATACAGGGGGAAGTATTGAAGGTGAAGAAAAAACGTGAAATCCTGTGTGTCTACCAGCCAAAATTGGGGTGGGGTTTCCTTGGAAAACCAACAACAGTTCATAGGTCATAGGTCATAGGGTGTTTGCAAAGAAGCGGCGGGATTTGACAAGCCTTACCTTTACCTATTTTCTAAAGAGGTTAATATTCCTCAAACCAACAACATAAATATGGAGGGATATTCCCTAACCTGTAAAGATTTAAATCTTGACCATCATTGCATGACCAACCAGCAGCCCTACTAGTTGGTGACCACTTTGTGGGCCGTGTCGGCCATGCCTGTGTTGAACCAGGGGATTTCGGTTCAGCTCATGGTGGTCACTGCATGTTTTTGTTGATAGTCCTTCTGGACGGATTTGGAACTGTTCAGAATTATTTTGTCTCGCGACCGAACTCTATCTGAACCCACAAATATATGTGTAGATATGTAGGACAAATGCATTTCATTATCACTAGTGAAGTGTCAGGATGATTTTTTCCTTTCTGTTTTTTTTGGTGATTGCTATATGTTGTAACTGTCCAATTGATGCCTTGCCTTTTTCTTTGTTTAGAGATGGGATGAAGTTACGGGTCGAGATTAAAACGTATGGGAACCTATGGGGGTGGGCCCACCATCCGTTGGTTGTTTTTGTCTATAGAGTCTATGGTGTTGTGTGGTCGTGGTTTGTAAAATCACAGTTTTGTTGAGGTTAAACAACTTCATCCCCACTGCATATAAATGCAGTATGTGTGTTGTCAAGTATTGCTATACTGTAACTCATGGTAGATCCTTTAAACTTTAGTCTTGTCAACACCAGCACCTTTAAGGTTAGTGACGGTTAGTGTGCAGCTCATCTTTTGCCATTAAGTCCGAATATCTTCCGTGATAAAAACAAATTGTTTATTGATGCCTAAAATCTTTATATATATACACACTATATATAGAGGTTGCTTGTGTTCATGTTGGTTCGATGCCTTTCTTGGGGCTTATATAAAGCACTCGAATACCGTTTTGTTTGGTATAGCAAGCCCTCAAAAAGAACGAACTGGTTTGATTTACCACTTCTTTAGGATTAGATTTGACTTCTGCATCTATTAGGGAGTTTGGTAGCTGGGTTGGTGGGTGGTTTTCTATGTTCAACCCTCTTTGGGAGTGATAATGTGCAAAAGGGGGGGCCCCCAAACAGCTGGCGTATCAATCCTGGGTTGACATGAATATGTTCTTAGTACAATGTGGAGGTTTCCATAAATGGGGGGGGTGGAGGTTTCCATAAATGGGGGCTATATACCCCCAAATGGATGGTTTATAATGGAAAATAGCATTAACATGGATGATTGATGGGTACCCCTATTTCAGGAAACCTCCATGTGGTAAACCCGATGCCAAAGTCACCATCGGTCACATCCCCAAACGGGAGTTGTTTAAGGCGGTTGCCCACATGAATTTGGGATAACGGATAATGTTTATCACCCAGTTCTGGTAATATTGAGGATGATTAATTGTTGGTTTTACCACCTTATCCCCATTATTGATGGTTGAATCCCAGCCATTTCGAATACTGTAGCTTCTTAGGCTGCTTAGATAGTCTAAATCAGCTCTCAAACCATTAATCATTATTAACCATTAATCACTATATATATATACATATGTGTGTATAACATGTTTTAACCATTATTTATGATTCACCATTATCATTATCACCATCAATTGTCATTATCAACCATTACCAACTATTACTAGCCATTATTTTCCATGAACCATTATGATTAACCATTATTAACCATGATTAACCATTACTGTAGCTATTAGCCATGATTAACCATTAATCAGTATCATGATCAATCATTATGAACCACGAACAAAACAAAATGCCCAGGAATAAAGTCACCAGCGCTCTTGCGCAGCTCTTTTTCGTGGCCACCTCTATGACACGTGACGATGCCGGGGTGGAGCTGAACGACGGTGCCTTGGCGAATGCGCGGACGTTCCCAGAAGGTATATACGGTATAGAGTATATATTGTAAATCATTGTAATATCTAAGGAATGCCACCATTTCTGCGGCTTCGAATAATAAAGTTCCGCAAATTATGAGAGAGAGAGATATATATATATATATATACATGCATATTGGAATCATTGGGCCTTTTCCGAGTCATGGTGCCCTGAACCTCGACCTGGCAAGGCCTCATGCACATGTCAGTTCCTCATTCAGATGTACAGTTCCTCATTCAGATGTGCACCTCAACAAGCTTGCCCCAGTCATCCCAATTCTCAAACTTGGGAAGCAGCTTCCACCCCGCCTTCAAACTAGGGATACTATGGCGCCGTATGGCGCCTGGATGTTGACATTTTGCAGCCCACCATTTCTTGAGGTGAGCAGTGTTCGAAGCCCCTGTTATCCCCTGTTGATTAGAATATGTGGTGACACTATCCGATCCAGTATATTGGGGGTTATCACAATCCAGCAATCCAGCATGGGAAATATATGGGAAATCCCATGAACCAACCAGTGAATTTGGGGAAACCAAGGGCCTCTCCCAGTCCCTTTTTGAACGTTTCGAGGTTACGAAGACGAACCCGAACTCAGCTGAGCTGCGCGGGCGCCCGAATGTCCTCGCCCTGTTGTACTGAGACAAAAAAGGACTCAGGGAGCAGGCGATGACTGCGAGATTTTTGTAAGCGACCCTAACCAGGCAGTTGGACCTTTCAAAACAGCAAAGAATCAAAAGTTAAGCCAACGCGCCCTGCTAGCTTCGGGAAAATCGATGCGATTGTCCTTTTCTTTCCCGAGAGCGTCTGAGCGCAGGGTTCTTCTGGGGGTCTGTATCTCATCTTCTCATTTTCACATCTTCTCATCTTCACATCTTCTCATCCTCACATCTTCTCATCTTCACATCTTCTCATTTTCACATCTTCTCACATCCTCACATCTTCACATCTTCTCATCTTCACATCTTCTCATCTTCACATCTTCTCATCTTCACATTTTCTCATCACCTTCACATATTCACACCCTCACATCTTCACATCTTTTCATCTTCACATCTTCTCATCTTCACATCTTCTCATCTTCTCAGCGTCACATCTTCTCATCTTCACATCTTCTCATCTTCACAACTTCTCACCTTCACATCTTCTCATCTTCACATCTTCTCATCTTCACATCTTCTCATCTTCGCATCGTCTCAGTTTCACATCTTCTCATCTTCACATCTTCTCCTCTTGCCTTCTTGCCCTCTTGCCCTCTTGCCCTCACATCTTCACATCTTCTCCTCTTGTCCTCTTGCCCTCTCCTTCTTTTTTATTTCTCTTCTGAAGGCGGGGGCAGGGGCAGTGCCAACGAGACGGCACGAAAGGCAACCCTTTCGCACGAAATGAGGTTCGATCGCCAAAAACTGAGGTAAAATTGCGATGTCCGAGTCGTCACGCGCAACCCTTTCGCACGAAATGAGGTTCGATCGCCAAAAACTGCGGTAAAATTGCGATTCCAACTTGTCCGGCACAACCCCTTCGCACGAAATGAGGTTCGATCGCAAAAAAATGCGGTAAAAATGCGATTCCAAGTCGTCCCGCGCAACCCTTTCGCACGAAATGAAGTTCGATCGCCAAAAACTGAGGTAAAATAGCGATTTCAAGTCGTCCCTCTTGTCCCGCGATCCCTTTCGCATGTGAGCATGGGCCGGCCTGTGTGTAAAAGCGTCTGTGTGTAAAAGCGTCTGTGTGTAAAAGTGTTTGTGTCTAAAATTGTTTGTGTGTAAAAGCGTCTGTGTGTGAAAGCTTCTGTGTGTAAAAGCTTCTGTGTGTAAACGCGTCTGTGTGTAAAAGCTTCTGAGTGTAAACGCGTCTGTGTGTAAAAGTCTCTGTGTAAAAGCGTCTGTGTGTAAAACTGTCTGTGTGTAAAAGCGCCTGTGTGTAAAAGTGTATATGTGTAAAAGTGTCTGTGTGTAAAAGTGACGCTTCTGTGTGTCAAAGCTTCTATGTGTAAAAGCTTCTGTGTGTAAAAGCGTCTGTGTAAAAGCTTCTGTGTGTAAAACTGTCTGTGTGTGAAAGCGTGAGTGGTGTAAAAGCGTCTGTGTGTAAAAGTGTCTGTGTGTAAAAGCGTCTGTGTGTAAAAGCGTCTGTGTGTAAAAGCTTCTGTCTGTAAAAGCTTCTGTGGGTAAAAGCTTTTGTGTGTAAAAGCGTCTGTGTAAAAGCAACTGTCTGTAAAAGCGTCTGTGTGTAATACTGTCTGTGTGCAAAAGCGCCTGTGTGTAAAAGTGTCTGTGTGTAAAAGTGCCTGTGTGTAAACGCGTCTGTGTGTAAAAATGTCTATGTGTAAAAGCTTCTGTGTGTAAAAGCTTCTGTGCGTAAAAGCTTTTGTGTGTAAAAGCGTCTGTGTGTAAAAGCTTCTGTGTGTAAGACTGTTTGCGATGCAAACTATTGTCTTGTACTTGTGCTATATTGTCTGGATACTCCTCTTCTCGACTGCCTATAACGCATCTTTAATATATTGTTTTGTAATATGGTGTCTCCATACTAACAAGAGAAGACCCTGCTCCTCTACGCTCTCTGTCTAGATTTTCCAGTTTGTTCCTGTTGCATTTAGAAAAACATGAGCTGCTGTGTATCGAGTCATAGTATATATTCCCGGTATCTGTTGAATAATTTTATTATCAGCACGTTTCAGGCATGTGATTTATATCAGTTGCCTTGAGATCAATGAAACCAGGAAATGGTCTAGATTCATGGTGGGATTTCCATATGTTGTGTTGACGTTTGGTTAATGAACACCCCCTTTCACTGTTGTTGGGTTGATAAATGTTCCGCCAAACAATCCTCCAACACATATATAGTCGGACAAAGATGTAATGATGGTTGGGGTTCAAATTAGGAAGGATTTTAGGTTCAATTTTGCGGTTTCAACCACAAAATCAAAGGAGAATGGAATCAAGACATTTTTATCATTTTTTTATACATATAGATTATATAAACAGTATTTCAACAAATACCACCCAAAAAAGAAATGACGTACTTTACTTAGGTGACTTAGGGGTCCTTGATCCGGGAAATCGCTGCACAGATAATGTGCACTTTGCACCCGAGGGGTCCAGCATAACCAGGGTTCGCACCAGTTCTTCGTTGGACTTCCCGCTGTTCCGTTGTCCTTTGCGGCCCTTAGTGAGACTCAGTCTCACGCTCTCAGTCTCCGCCTTGATCAAAGGCAGGTTCGGATGACCTGCAAGGTGAAGATGTGTGTTGCTTTGTAAGCCCAGCTATTTATATATAGACTCCATAGATATATCATGACAATTCATGATGTATCATGATGTATCATGATATATATATATATATTATGATGTTATATATATATATATATCATTTTATCCATAGGAAGATCCATATTGTTCACCAGTGGAGTCATGCAAATCAGTGTTGCTGCCTTCGTTTTTTCTCTGTGGAAGGTGGACTAGATCTATAAAAAAAATGTGGAAGTCCAGCGGTCCCTGTCTCCCGGATCACCGTGCATTACAACAGCTATTTGTGTGGAATTGTCGGAAAATGACCAAATTCATTGAATTTCAACTTACAATGGTTCGGTCACCTCGAGAATGACTTGTCTTCAACTTGTTTCAGGTGGTTTCAGGTAGGTTTTCTGGATGCTGCAGCTAGAATCTAGATCTAGAATGCCATAATTAATCACGTAATCATATAGTGATTACGCACCATTATACACCTCTAAAAAGGACACGGGGACTGGTTGTCCATGACCTATGCACATGTGCCGCTTTGGGCCAACAGGATTCACACATCAATTCATATCCAATAATATCCAATCAATTCGAATCGAATCATATCATCATGTTATCCGTATAATTATTATATATATATATGTATATTATATTATACAAATGTTTGTTCCACGTTAGGTTTCCTATGGTATAGGGTCCCTGGAATACAGTGTACAGTGTTTACAGCACCAACAACTACCAGGATAGTTAACGAGGATTCATGTGTCATCTCTATTGAGAAAGTGATCTCGACCTCACTCTGACAGGGTGGGCTTTGAGTCCTATTTGTATCTATTTGTGGTAGTTCCGCATCTTTAAATAGCATTAAACCGTAACATTTCAGACGGGCACAAAGACATGTGATGTTCCTTCGCTTCACACGATATATGTTTGACCCTGTACCATCCATATCCATATCCATTTGCTGAAAATGATTCCGTCCTGGTGAAGTCATATCAAACCATGGCAGCTTGGCGCGGTGATCCCAAGTTGCTACTGCTCAGCACAGCTTCAGCATGCCTTTCACGCGAGCTCCCCGCCGTGGAGAAAAAACGATTGAGAGGAAGGAGATCCCGTGGTCGTTCCACCCTGGGATTTATTATCAATGAAGATGAATCCTACCACAATATCTTTGGAATTTCGAGATATTTTGAGAGTAAAACCCATGGTTTCAACCATAAAAGTTGCATCAAATTATATATTATTTAAAAATATATTCCATTGAAACCATGCTTTCATTTCCCGCCCTACCTGTAGTTGGAATATATATTATGAAGATGACAAATGTATATAAATGTGTTCTATATAAGGGGATTGACACCTCAAACTTCGAGCCCGCAAAATTTGAGCCATGGGGATACCAACTGCAGTGATGGTTATGGCATGCAAAAATGAGGAAATTAGAGCCCAAGGCGCTGGAATGAAGTTGCACTACACCATAGTACACCCAATGCCCAGTACCACCAGTACCAGCTCCAAACTGGCCACTAACCTTAGAAAAGCTGAATTTGAAGATGAAAACCATTCGGAACTCTGAGTTTTACTATGTTTTACTCCCCCAAATGTGTTTTTGTTTCATCCCAGATGTGGGTCGATTCTCATCACTGGTTCCGAAAGTTTGGTATCGGTGTAATTTCACATGGTAATGAAATCCCAACTCTAGGTGAGAATAATAGTGAATATGTTAAATACATAGTATAGGATATAGTAGGTGATGTTGCAGCCATGCTAAATCACTGGAGGGTATGGGGTTATGAACAAAGAGAGGTGGATATGACTCATCAACAAGATGGGGATCGCCTCTAAAGCGGGTACTGTAGATCCTCTAGACATTATTTGTCTACTCGATCTATCTCAATATACATGTCAATACTTTATATCAATCTATATCATATACAGTAACGATTGCAACATTAGTTTACACTTGCAGTGACCCCCCAAAATGCCGAAAAGTACAGTATGTCCATGGTACAATTTTCAGGTGTTCGACTTTCCAGAGCGTTTCCTTGCTGTCCAAGGCTTCAGAAGTTCGCTCGTTGTTCTGAAACCCAGTTTCTTGCGGTGCCGGTGACGTCATGGCATCCAAAAAGAGCAGATCCCATGTACAAAACCACTGGATCCGTGTTTGAGAGAATCTTATACATATATGTTGTATATAAATATATTATATATCTATCTATCTCTTTGGGGTACAGTGAAAATGAATATAGCACAATAAAGACTGAAGAATTAGATCCTAGTTTTGCGGGGTTGAAGGGTCCAGTTCAGGGTATTTAGATGTATTTAGTATTTAGTATGAAGGGTCTCGATTGGGATGGTATAGATTGGTATTTGACGTGATGGTAGATGTATCCAATGATGTGGATCTGAAGCTGCACATATGTGGTCATGTTTCATATGCATATATACATGTGTGTTTGTTTGAAGATACGATGTTCTCAAGTGCACTGGTT